TTAATGATTTCATTTAATTACTGCGTAGTAGTGTAAATTTACATAACAGAAATTTTTAAAACGGTAATAGCTGTAGCTATTAATCAATTAATTAACTATTGTAATTATTATCTAATTATGATGATGTATATTTTGTTTTCTATATTTATGGTATGTGCCACCTTCCGGCTTTCGCTTGTTGTCTAGTGCAATAATATTAATATTAATTAATAAGGATTATATGTTGTTAAAATTTTTATTGTCCCATTGTACATTCAATTTTTTTTCTTTTTTGAAGTCAAACCTTTCGGTTGTTAATTATATTAGGTATATTATACATGCATTAGAAAATATTTTGCATAGGTCTCGACTTCAAAAAAAAAAAAATAATAAACGAAGCGGTTTTATTAATTAACTATTACACTTACGTATATACATGTTAATTATTATATTTTTTTTATCGTGTACCTTATCGATTTTTATAGAATGCTGTATGTAGTAAGTTTTAAGGGAATTTTGTCTCGTTTGAAAATGCTAGGTTAGATCTCATTCTACGTTCAGGCTTCGTTGGATACGCAATTTTTGTTCTTAAATTGCTTCTTGTCTGTGTATAAACAAATATCTGTGCGTTATTGAATGTAGATAAAGTATTAAGTGTATTTCAATTATAAGTGGCTGTTAAAATGCCCTCGGTGGTATAGTCCGTTCACATAAAGAAAGGTGCAGCGTGGGCGATGGGCATTAAACGAGTTCTCGGAATATGGCCGGTCGTTTCCCATCAAAGCCCAACCGTAAGCCTCTGGCGCCTTAAATAACTTCCAACAGTTACGATCATTAAGGCAGTCTGCATACATCGATTTGCCATTGTGTACCTTTCTCTAAGTGAACTGACTTAGCAGCACTTTGTTCACAAAAAAGTGTAAATGATAGGTCAGGAAAGTATGAAACCAATTAGTGCTAATTCGTAATTGCAGTGAAGGCCACTGAAAACATAAAGTATAAAGCAGTTTTAGATTGAAGTCGAAAAAAAAAAGAGTTTCGAAAGTCGTTTAGCTTCTGGTGTAACTACAAAAGTTCTTTTGTACTTTATTGGACGAAAGGATAACGAATATAATTACCATTTTAAAAAATCATAGAAGCAAATGTTAGTTTTGGATTTTCAATCTTTTTTTTTAATGTTAATTTAAATTTGCAGGTAATTGTATTTTTTTTTTGTAATATATCGTTTTCGATTGCCTTCAATTGGATTTGGCATCTCTTTGTATTTACGAATTAGAAATATGTATCTTGCGCTTTATTTTCCTGCCTTCTGAATGAAATTCTGCAGTTTGCTTATTTTTTGTTTAACGAATAATTTTGCTAAAAAGTACAAAAAAGCGCTTTGAAAAATTTTTATTGCAAATCTGAATATTATTCATATGTATTTCTATATTAAAAATTTTGATAAATATTGCAGCCGCTTGTATACCTGTTAAGAAGAAGGATACTTAAGTGGCAGCATTAATCACTTTAATCTCTTTTAATATTGTTTTTATTTGGGGGTTTTTGAACTTTGAATTGTATGATAATCGGAAGTACAGAAGTATCTTAACTGTATAGAGTAAATTATAAACACTATTAAC